GGGTGCTAACCTGAGAGGCTTCTGGAAGGAAGAGACACTGAGCTGACTCTTGAAAGAGCTAAGGACAGTGAGGAAGACAGAGAGATTAGTGCATGGAAGGTGTAGAGGTGTCAGAAAACACAGTGTGTTTAGAAGATAGCAGAAATAAGTGCTCTCCCATCATCAGTCACATGTATACTCTGATTTTTAAACATATGCATTCACCAGAAAGGATAGAGGTACATGTATAGGGTTATACATGCCTAGAACTCCATCTAAAAGTTTTATAAAAATTGATTTTATTTTGTGTGATGGTATGAACAGCTGTACTGAAGAAAACAAGACACCATGGTAGCCATTGATGATTTCCTGTCATTTTGTTTCGAAGTCCAATAATGCTTTTATTTTTGGTTTTGATTGGTTTTAGTCTGTTTTCAATTATTTGATTTCAGTATGTATGAAGGTATGGACAACTATTTTGAAGAAAACAAGAGACATTATGGTAGTCATTATTGATTTCCTAATGTCTGGTCTTGAAAGCCCTTAAGGCTCTCATTCTTTCATTTTGATTGCTTTTATACTATTTTGATTTGTATTAACTTATTGTGTGTGAAGGTATGGACAACTATTTCAAAGAAAACAAGAGACATTACGGTAGCCACTGCTGATTTCCTATTGACTTTTTCTGAAATCTTATGTTATTTGCATTGTTTTACTCTGTTCTTCTTTGTTCCATTTTGTTTGGTTTTATTTTATTCTATTTAAAATAAAAAAGTATGTACTGACTTATTTATGGGTTTGTAGTGGGAATGGATATGGATACTCAGTCTTCTTAACCAAGCCGGTCAGCTGGCTGGTCTGTGCAGGTCCTTACTAGTCCTAGCAGGACATCAAACTGCAACCTTGGTCTGCAGATCAAGGATCATGAAAGGCATCTGATGGGAGAAGAGCAGCTGCAGATGGTCCAATAAAATTTCAGTCAGGTGAGATGACTAGGTGGGTGTGAAACGTCGGAGTTCTGGTAAAAATGATCCCCTGCCCTGGCCACTCCCTAGCTGTTACTGCGTCTCACTTTCCCATCTTCCTAATAAATTTGCCGGCCTTCGTTGCCTCCTCAGGCATCAAGAGGGGAGTTTGTCTGGAGACCCTTTGGGAGCCCATGTCAAATCCTTGACAAATGTTCTGTTAAGTTAGGTCTGCAGCAGGCTGGAAAAGGCGAAGATTAAAGGAATAAAATATGCCCCACACAGTTGTGGAGGGCACTTGCCAGCTGGGACTCTGCTCTGTCATCGAAGGTCACCACAGGGTTGGCTGATAAATGATAACAATTTTCTATAACACGTAGGCTTTTAGTCTTTCCAACAACCCAGAGAAGAAACGTTACACACGATGACGGGAGTGGTTTTTACCATGTCGTTTTGGCCTCAAAGCTAGTTTTTAGATTTCATGGATAGTAAGTCCAGCAATATCATAAAAATGCCTATGCAAACAAGACCCTGTTGGTCGGGACATTTTTTGGGGAAAGAAGGAGGTATTCACAGTGAAAACTCACTTATCTAGCTTAATCAAGTAAGATGATGTTTATTAGGGGAATACCAAATATCAAGGAGATTTTATTAGAGGAATACCCAGAATATCTAGGAGAACCCAAGAGAACAGATAACGCGGCTCTTCCCTGGGACCTGATACCAGGGCTGTAGAGACATCAGCAACCCAGAAGGCCCGTCCTCTGCTCTCCCTGTGTTTTGTTGGTCTGTGACCTCGCCCCTCATTCATTACATTCTTTTTTATTCTAAGCAGCATTTGCTTCTCTGACTCTCCTGGGATTCACTTGCTTAGACTCTGGCCTCAGCAATGACAGACCTGCACTTCTTGGTCCTCCTTATACATTCCCAGGAAAAAATGCTAAAATTGGCAGCATGTGACCTGGTTTCCACACTTAACTCATACAGCCATGGCCCTGAGGCGGTAGGCAGGCGGGGTATCTGGAGCATTTGTGTTAGGCAGGCACCTACTTCTTGGGAGTTGCTAGCCTTGCAGGAAATCTTGGATTGTGTAAGTTTCCCCTAAATAGCCTTAAGGATGTACATGATGCATAAGAAGTGTACATTCTCTTATGGAACGGTTGCTTTGCACGGCAGACTGGGAATTTGCATGTAGGGTTGCATACAGCGTTGTTCTCTGGAGGTTTTCTTTGTATTCTCATGGGGTGCTGTTGAAGAGATGGGTACCTGGTACATACAGCTGTTCTTATGCTGTGTTACAATGCAGAGCTTGTAAGTCCTAGAAGGGTACTGACAAGGAGGTATTATATTCAGGTATACACAAGGAGATTTGGAGCCTTATTACAGCTCATGATCATATATTTGAGGTATCTAGCTGAACAAATGAGTATACCCTTGATTGTCTGTGGTGACTTCTTTGCTATTTTAAGACTTTCTGCCTCTCAGCTTGCCTCTTTATCAACACTGGTGTCTAACAGTCCCAGACAGCAGGATTTTTATTTGCTTTGGTATCTGCCCAGTGTTCTTTCCCATACTGTAGTTTTCCCCATGTCTCTAACTCACAAGTTCAAGAGCCATGTCTACCAGCTAGCCTTCCCTAATATGCCATCCCTCACTTTATTTTAGAACTCATTCAACAGTTATCCAGCCAGTATTTGCCAAGCACAGTGTCGGCTGGTTACATCAGTTTTCCAGCACTGTAGTTTTAACAAAGGACCACAGACTTATATGGCTTAAAAGCCAGAAATATCTTTGTATATGGGAGTGTAGAAGCTCAAGATCACCGTGCCAGCAAATCTGATTTCTCCTGTGGCCTCCTTCTTTGGCTTGCAGATGAGTTCCTACCGCTTGTGTTTTCACTGCATGCACACATGCTGGGTGCTGCTTTGTTTGTCCAAACTTTTCTATAAAACCACCAATCAGGGTCTACTCTAAAAGTTCTTTTTTTAAAAAAATTTTTTAATTTTAAAGAGAATAAAGCCCCCCAAAACTAAAACAGAATAAATCCAATCAAAAACAAAGCAGTGAAAGTGGTACATAACTTAGAATCAGGATAATAGGAAATTAATAATGACTATCATAATATATTTGTTATTTCATGGTAGTTGTTCATTCTGTCAGGCATAGTAAAATAAAATAAAACAGAATAAAACCAATCAAAACAGAACATTGAATAAAACAAAACAATAAATCAGAACAACACAAAACAACGATCCCATCTGTGTTGTCTGACACTTTGCCCACAAATGTTGGGTTTATGGGCTGAATTTGTGCCCCTCCCAATTCATATGTTGACGTTCTACCTCAGAATGTGACTGTTTGGAGGTAGAATTTCAACATATGAATTTTGGGGGGCAAGTGTTGGATAACACAGATGGGATCACTGTCCTCTTGTGGCTTGATAAGGAAGAGAAGACAAACACCAACCATTTGTATGACAAGTTCACTAACTACCATTGTGGGGTGGTCTAAGGAATATTTGTCATGTGAACAGGTAGTCTTGGGGTTAGTTGGTATGGAAAGATCTCCATGAGGATCTAAGATCTGAAGGAAGGGTGGCTAGGAATCAACTAGTTATGAGGGAGGTCCCAGTATTCCAGACAGAGAGATCAGTGTGTGTAAATCCCAGGCAATGGAACAGAACATGACATATTCAAGGAGTTAAGGTCAAAAGGGCCAGATTACATGGGATGTTGTGTCCTGAGATCCTCATTTCAGTGCTTACTCTATTCTCCTTTGGACTATTTTAAACATTCTTTCAGGAGGGATAGGTAGCATGCATGTTTCGCTTCTTCTTGTGCTCATTTAGGGAGATCTTGTCTTTAGCTCCTTTGCTGTTCTCTCTTCATAGTCTATAGCACTGGCCTTAGCATATGCTGGGTGCTCAAGAAATAAATTAAGTGGCTATCATGAGAAATGGGATTAGTGGAAGCACTCTTACTTGTCTGAACTAGGGCCTGAGTCAGTCTTGGGTATGTTTCCTCCCAAGGTGAGGACTTTGGCACTATGATGCCACCTAGTGCTTGTTTTTATTGAAAGAGCACAGGGAAGCATTTTGTTTCTTTCGCCAGCATAAACTGATTTGTCCAAACCTTCATCCTTTCATCCGTTCTTTTACGTCCATGTTGGTGTCCAACTGCATCTCGTTCCATTGAGTTGGACACAGTACACACATTTCCACCTTGCTGTAGTTTCCTCAGTATTTTGTGTTGGGATTTTTCTGTCCCCATATCATAAATAATGCTTTGAGGCACCAGTGTCTAGATCCCTGAGCTCCCACAGTGCTTCTGCTTGACATGGTATGAACTAAATACTATCATATTGTGTTAGGAATAATTGTGGATGTTCCTTTCTGTCTTTTCCCAATGTCAGATGGTGAATGTGAAGGTTTGTGACTCTGCCTGAGCATATAATCAATATATGGCTAACTTTTAGCAAATGGAAATAAAACGTCAGATTTTTCATTTGAAATGCTGTATAGCAATCAAAGTAACGAACTAGGATTGCAAAAACAGAGCCTTAAAAAGAATGCTGAATATAAAAAAAGTAGAACATAACACGATCTCATTGTCAAATACTGTTACCTGTTTTTTTTTTTAAATACACTGATAAACATGCTATATATTAAAAAAAAATTGGTAGCCAACCACACTAGCATGAATGACCATGGGACCCAGGATGAAAGCTGGGAATAGTGATGAAGAGAAAAAAATAAGGCCAGGGAGAGGTCTTGCACCTTTTATGAATGAGGGAATTTAATAACTTCAACTCTTTGTACCTGAGGCCCAGACAGAGCCCTGCTCTCCCGTGTCCTTAAATTCTGCAAAGACCTGGGGAGAACTTCCGGCCTTTCAGGAGTCCCGCCTCCTTATTTCATCGGTCCCGCCTCTATTTGCATATTTCTCAGAGGAACACCAATCAGGTGGCAGCCCCTCCCTTTTCGAACGCCGCTCTTAGGCCCCCTCTACCAAGGGGCGGGGCCGTTGCCAGGTGACCGGAGGACGCACTGAGCCAAGGGTTTCCGCTTTGCCCCGGCGGGCAAAAGAGATAAAGGGCACGACCCCTTTCCCAGACTCGCCCAGTTTCTGCGATCTACACAGCAGCCCTTGAGGCCGCCCCCAGAGAACATCAGGATGGCCGAGGTCAGGAGTCGGTGCCCCTCTGTCGCCTCTCGCTGGACCGCTCCTTCTTCTATTAGATTGATCCCCTGTCACATTCATCTAATAGTTTTCAGTCCTCTCTGCCCTGTTAGATCACACCCCATCTTCATTCTCAAAGATGAGGTGCCATTTCTGCAAGCGTTCAGGGCTCCCTTGCCTGTCCATTAGCCCTCCTGTCTATAACTTCGGCAGCCTCTAATTGCTGACATCATTTGATTTATTGTCCTCACCCACCATGGCCCTGCCCCAGTTCATCACCTCATTGGAGCCCTCCCTCACCTCACTCTTAACAGGGATGATTCCGGCCAGGGTCAGCAAAAGATTTTCCAGGCCCGGTGCAAAATGAAAACACAAAGCTTCTTAGTCAAAAATCATTATGGTTTTTAAACTGTGACAACAGTGCATTAATCGAGGGTGGGATTCCTTTGAACCTGGAACCCCATGCAGCTGTTTAGGTCCCTATAGTCAGCCCTCGTCTTGGCTTCTAGCACCTCTTCCCCTGCCCGTTTTGCTTCCTTGGTCTCCTCTACACCACCTGTATCCTCTCATCATTACATCTCCTACACATCTAGCATTCCATCTTAAATTCCACTTCCTGCGGTCCATAGCTCTGTGCTTCCTTATCATCCCTCTAGTTTCCTCATTTCCTGGCTGGTCAGCCTCATAGCTTTCTGATGTCCGTGCTGCTGTGACCACATGACCTTTCCCCATTACTTATTCTCTTTATACCTCATTGCCTCCCATTTCCTCCTCTTGACCTGTCTGGATCTCCTTTATACTTTCCAATATTTGCTTTGAGTGTTTCCTGTTTTTTTCCCTGACCATAATCTTGGTTTATTTTATTATTCTTAATTTCTCATAGATAAGCCAATACTGTGAGTGAATTCTTCTCCAGTGTCGCCTTTCTTTTATTGTCCCCTCTCATTTCTTCCCTTCTTTTATTTCTCTTCTTACTTGATTTCCTTTTCTTCTTTCCGAGCATCTAGAAGGACACCTGGCACATTATCAAGCACTCAGGCTAGGTGAAGAATGAAGGGGTGTCACCACGCATGTTGATGCTGTGTTTCTGAACTATTTACCGTTATATACCCTAAGACTCTAGATACCAAACAGCTTTTGGTTGCAGTCTGGAGATGATTTTTGCTTTTCTTTTAAGAGTATACTTTTTAAATGATGATATGAAAAAAATTTCTGATCACAAAATTTTCTTTAAAATTTTTCTTTCTCTGGTATTTTCCCATGTCTGTGCTAAGCACCAGGTGTATAGGGAAAACATGGCCTGCAAACAAATCATTAGGTTTCTGGTCAAGTGTGACATTAATGCCATAACTGAGGACAGCGTTGTGATAAACTTCTGGGTTGCTTATGTTTGAATCAACAAGGGAAAGCCCAGAGTGGCGGCAACACCGTATAATGTAATGTTGCAAGTATAAATAAGGCCTTGTGACCTTAGCAGTTCATTACTCCAGAGTCTTTCTGGGGTTCTCTTTGGGGTCATACAGTGCACCCTCCTTAGAAGGCCGTCCAGTGTCTCCAGGCTGCCTCTAACACCTAATTGTGGTTTCCTTTCTTCTCTCTGGGTTACCTCTTACATTTTAGTCAATTTGGAGATTGTTTTTGCTTTAAGCTTTTGCTTAAACTGTGAATTGTGCAAGAAGCCTTTTCATCTATATCTCTGTGTGAAAACTCTCTTTCTTCTAGGTCTGCTTTATTCTTGCTGCAAAGTATATATCTCTCTTCTTGTAGGTCCTTCTAGAACTCTGAATCCATTTTATGACTGAGATCAAATTCTGTACCATTATCTATTTGCGTAACACACTCCACCAGCTAGTACAATAAAAATATCTGTGTCATTTATTCTTTACCTTGATTTCTCTGCAGCTTCATCACAGAACTTAACCTATATAATAAATGTTCAACCAATATTTACTAAATGGGGCTGAGGATGTAGCTCAGAGATAAAGTGTTGGCCCAGCCTGTGTGAGGCCCTAGTTTCAATTACTAGCAGCTATGGGAAAGAGAAAAAACACTTTGCTGAATGAATGGATAAATACGTTAAACGTATCTTATAAGTTATTGTTGTTCTTGTGGTATGCCCAATAAGAAGTAGGTATATTCATCTGCTAGAACAAACATAACAAAGTATCAAAAACTAGATGGCTTAAAACAGCTGGTTATTTATTTATTTACTTATTTAGTCTTATCATTCTCAAGGGTAGAAGATTAAAATCAAAGTATTGGCAGGGTCATGTTCCTTTTGAGACCCTGAATAACCCTACTTTGCCCCTTTCACTTTCTTTTTTTTTTTTTTAATTGGTACCGGGGATCGAACCCACGACTGCATGCTTGCAAGGCAGGTGCTTATGCCACTGAGCTAAATCCCCAGCCCCCCCTTCTCACTTTCTGGTAGTTGATGACAAATCTTAGTCTTGGGATCATACCTGTGTCGGTCTATTTTACTCACATGATCTCTCTCTCTGTGTATGTGTGTGTGTGTGTGACATTGGGCTACACTGAATTAGAATCCAACTCACTCCTATGACCCTATCTATCTATTCATATCTATTATCTATCCATTGATCTATTTATCTATCCATCCTTATCTATTATTTATATCTATCATTCATCCATTCCTATCCACTATCAATCTATTGATCTATCTATCCCTTTTATCTATCTATCTATCTATCTATCTATCTATCTATCTATCTATCTATCTATGTAAATGTACCCAGAAATGAAAACAGTGACTTCCCAACACCTATCTTAGTTTTCCTGCCTGCTGCGGGCTTTCCTTTTCCTGCGTGGAGGTCTTTCATTCAGGGGTGATAGGAGTAATTCTTTGATAAGAATGGGGTAACTGTTGAGGTGCACATTCCCATTCTTGCTCTTTCTTACAGGAAAAAGCTGAAAAGCCAGTGCTGGAGGAAACTGCATTTGAGGAAATTGAAAAAGATTTTCAAGAGGTTCTCAGTGAACTTTCAGGTGACAAAAGTTTGGAAAAGTTTAGAATTGAATATGAGAAGCTTCACACCATTATGAAAAAGTCTTATGACAATGAAAAGCGGCTGATGGCTAAATGTCGAGAACTGAACGCCGAGATTGTGGTTAATTCGGCGAAGGTCGCCACTGCCCTGAAGCTGTCCCAGGATGATCAGACCACCATCGCGTCTCTGAAGAAGGTCAGTGTCTAGTGTGGATGAACCTGAGTTTGAAGCATCCTCCTTTTCCTTACATTTGCAGCTCTAGGCTGGTAGTAAACTAGTTACTAGGTAAAAATTTGCATGATATATATATTCATTAAGCTTATAGAGTAATATTCATTCTCAAAGAAAATAGCCTGGGTGCATTTCACCTTCCAGAATATAATAGAGAATCTTACTGGCTTGGTTTCTGGGAAATAATGGGTTTGCAAGAAGACTGAGAGATAAATAAATGCAGTATGTCTTGTTTGAGGCAGTTACACATGATAGTTCGTTAAAAATATTTTTATATTTCTGCTTTTTCTCTTGCTTCAGAAGTGATTGCTTTGAGAATTCCCAGATAGATAGTAATTTTCATTTTCAATTACCACTCTGTTTCTCCCTTGATTGTATTAATTTCTGACAACAAGAGAACCAGAGAGTCTATCTGGGAGAATATCGAGGGAATATGTGTGATTTTATCTCACACTGTATTTTTCATCCTTGAATGTGTTGCACACATTTCCTGCTGTTCTTAAGGTGATGAAAGGTTGAGGCGTTAATTTATAATTAAAACCCTGCTCCTGAGAACAATTTACAAACATTTCAGGCGATTCCCTTAATATCAAGCAGTTAGGTGTTACCTAATTCAAATTAGCTTCAAGATCAATACAAAATACAGTTTTATCTGTGTTCTTAGAAACCACTCTGTGTATCAGTGTAATTTTCTTGTCACTTTTTTCTTTTCCTTGCTAAAAAATCAATATGAGAAGACTTTAATTCATTTTTTTTTTTTGGTCTTTTTCCTTTTTATCGGTACCGGGGACAAGAGAAAAAGCAGAAATATAAAAATATTTTTAATGAACTATCATGTGTAACTGCCTCAAACAAGACATCGAACTCACGACTGCCTGCTAGCAAGGCAGGTGCTTATGCCACTGAGCTAAAGCACCCGGCTTTAATTCATTTTAAGATGGGAAAAATACTTTCATTTTAAATTTAAAAATGAAAGGTTAAGCATTGATTGAATTGTAATTGTTGAAATTTATTTGGATAAAACCATCTAGTTATGTTTTCATTTAAATACCCTTATTTATTCTGCCAATAATGGTACATGTGTTTGCTACATAAGACCACATCCTCTGACGTTTTATTTTGAGTCATTACATTATGTGCTGTGGTTGTACAGTAGTAAGCTCTCTGTCTAAAGTAATGGTGAGCATGGATTTATTAAACTGGATACTCTTGTCAGTATGTCTTTCTTTTTCTTCATCAACATAAATGTGGAACATTTCTACTTAAATCTTCCAGGTTCTCATCTCTATAAAGGAGTCACATTCCACTTGACACAAGTTTCAACCCATTAACTACAGGACAAAACCGAGGTTGTCATAGACATTCACTGTACTTTGCTCATTGACTTGAATAGCTACCTTCACTTTTAAATATTTATGTAAATAATCCACATTGCATTTCATGACAGTAAGGGACCCAGAGCTGTACGAGTTATTGCTTCCATTCCCTGCTATGTATTTTATTTTTCGCTACAATCATTTGAAGAGAAGGCATGGGCTTGGGTTTCTGAAAATTGGGAAAACCTTGGGAATTTCCAAGGTTGTACCCTTGGGATCCCAGAACAAAGTGTTTTTATTTGCAAATTTATCAAGAGATTCTATTCAGTCTATCATTTTAGGGCTTGGCTCTATGGTCATTCCTTAGGTGATAAAACCTTTAAAAATAAATTAACCTTTAATTATAAATTAACGCCAGCTGGACTGGGAAAACATAAGCACTCCTCTCTCTCTCTCTCTCTCTCTCTCTCCTTTCTTTCTTCCCCTCCCTCCCTCTTCTCTTCCCTCTCTCCCCCTTCTCTTCTCTCTTGGGACAGTGTCTCACTATGTAGTTCAGGCTGTCCTCAAATTTATGATCCTCCTGCCTCAGTCTTCCAAATGCTGGGATTATAGGCATGTGCCACCATACTGGGCTAAATTCTCATTTTTCATTGTGCAAACCTATCCATTTCCTTATAAGGAATAATCCCCCTAGGTAGAGTAGCCCTTGCAGGATCTTGTAGCCGCATTTAGCCACACAAGCAAAAATACTCCCTGCTAAAAAAACACCCCCCTTTAACTGGACTGTTTACTGTTGGCTGGCCCATGCTGAACAATTCAGAAAGTCAGCACAGGCTTAGTGCATAGAATATAATGTACATAATATTTTCTGCATAGATGATGGCTGCATGAGCATCACAGTGTTATTCTATTTGCTGGTTTATCTTGCACCTGAAACCCAGGCTGGTTTTTCTCACTGGTGTCCTGTGGCCCATTTAGGAAATTGAAAAGGCCTGGAAGATGGTGGACTCGGCCTATGATAAGGAGCAGAAGGCCAAGGAGACGATTCTTGCCCTGAAAGAGGAAATAGTAAACTTGACCAAGCTAGTCGAGCAAGGGTCTGGACTGTCACTGAACCAGGACAGCAAGTAGGTCGAAGCCTTCTTGATGTATTGAGTTTCCTCGTGCAGAGGCTCCTGCGACTCCCAGCCTGGCACAGTTGGAGTGGCAGCTTGGCCCCGGCAGGTGTCTTCTTGAACAGTTCTCCGACATGCAAAACTCTGCATTCCCGGTCATTATTTTCTATTGTGATTTTCCTTCTTTGATGCTCCCTTTCTCCACACCAAATACCTTCTGATGTGTGCTGACTTTGAACCCCTGGTTCTCTAAGAATCAGTACTATAGTTACCAAGACAGTAACGATTTAGATTTATTCCTTGCATACTTGTAGAAAATGGAGGTGGCTGCCTTTCTGCCCAGAGCCCCAGCTCCTCCTCCTTGTCATGATTAATCCCTTTGCTCTCCTTCCTCCTTCCTCAGGTTCCAGGCCAGGTTCCACCCATGACACTCTTTCATCCCTGAAAGTGCAGTCTCGACCATCCTGCACCGTTCATTCCTGTGACTGCGGCTGCTACCGTGCCATGCTGGGTGTGGTGGTGCTCTCCTAACTGGTCTTCCCTGAAGGAAGACATCTTCCTCTTTATTGCTTTCAGATCCATGCGTCTGAAGCACTCAAGCATCTGTTCACAGCATAAATACTTTCTGTAGCTCCTTGTACCCAAAGGAGAAAGCCCAGACTTGAGCACATCATCTAAAGCCTTCCACAAATCTGCCTCAGTAGCTTCCCTCGCCTTCTGTCCAGCCACACCCTGTTGCTCCAGCCTCATGCCTTTGCACACACCGCTTTCTAGGCTCAAAATGCCTTTTTTTCTTTTCTCCACACCATAAAGTCCTATGCATCCTTTAAGATCTATTTTGGACACCGTTTTGATTTTGCCACCATTAGGACCTCTGTTCAGCTTCCTCTCAACCTCTGGGCCCCAATGCAGACATAGAATGAGCCACAGCATTCTCTGTTTCCAGAGGACCCAACATCTAGTCTAGTACAGCACAGACCACATTGGACTGGAATTATTTGCTACCATGCTTTTCTACCCATTAGCAATGCTATGAATTCTCATATGAAACATACTTTTATATTCCCTGCAAGAGTCTGGGCACCACACTCATCATGCAAAATGTAACATTAGGCAGTGAATCAGGCACAGGCATATACTTCTTCGGGCATCCTTAACCAGATCTGTTGTTGTTGCCTTGGTTTCTTATGTTTTCTTAATTCATGGATCTGACTTTGATAGACTGTTCTAGGTAGTTCTGGGGGCAGGAATAAGAAAAACAGCCAGAAGATGTGGTTCCTGTGGTGATGGATTCATTTCCAGCATGTTCAGAGCAGCTAAGAAAGAGAAGCTGGCTGAGACGGGGGAGTTTTAATGAGACTTGGAAGAGGGTTGGGAGAGAACTGTGATGCCATCCAGCTCAGAATTTCATCATCAGCAATGTGCTCATGTGTGGCCGTCTCAACTCTCAGTCACTTGGAACGGAGGTTTTGTTTCTGGAGAAGAGACAAAGCGCTTGAGCATGGATTGGAAGTTTCCTTATTAAACACTTACATTATACTAAAGATTTTGGAAACAAGTGCTGTCAGGTTACTGTGCTTCAATCAGTCGTTTGATGACTGTTAGCTGCAGGAGTCTGTAGGACAAGCCTTCCTCTGTTTTCTCTCTGCTCAGAACTGCTTGGTTCTAGATTTGTTCTGCTACAGAGATTGTAGGAGACACAAATTCTGCTCACAAAGTGCTAACTTTGCAGAAAGTCTCGCCAAATAATAAAGAATGGTTTTTGACATGGGGAGGTAACTGTTTTATAATTCAAATCAACAGAAATTATCACAGACTCACCAAAATCCAGCAGCATGAGTGGTTTTCTAAATTTTGTTCTAGGGGACATTTTATTTAGTCAGTACCTCTTTGGGAGAAACTAATCTCTCTGGGTGAATGAAAAGAAAATTGGCAAGGCGTATTCTTTGGTTATGTTTATGTTTCCCTTTAGATTTTATGGCTGTAATCATAGTTTCTGGTGCATATATTAAGCAAACGATTTTCTAAAGTGACATCTGCTTAGGGTTAATTACAAGACTTGACAACAGCAACATAGTATCATTAATAGACTTGAATAATACAGAGGTATGGAAATTTCTTTTCTCCTAAATTTGCCACTCTAAATTCCTCAGAGATAATCTGTTACCTGCTTTTATGGGTGTCTATAAAAACGACTTCAGAACACACGCGTAAGGCCAAGTATGGCGGTGCGTGGCTGTAATCTCAGCACTTTGGAGGGTGAAGGCCGGAGGGTTACAAGTTCAAAATCAGCATAGGCAATCGAGCAACTTAAAGAGAACATGTCCAACAACAACCATAACCACAACAACGGCCTGTGGTTGTAGCTCATACCAGGACCCTGGGCTCACATGAGTAGATGCTGCACTTTCTTAAACATTACCAAGGGGTCACACTGTAGGTCTTATTTTTGGTACTTCTTACTAGTGAAATCTCCCATCAGTCTCCAGGCACTGGAGGGTTTGTGTGTGAGGCCTGAGTAGCTCCCACCATGGGCCTGGAGACTTCCCCAGGAAACCTGTCCTGGGGACGAGGGAAGGGACCCGTGAGTGGATGGCCACTTAGCCTGACTGCTTTGTTCTTGCCTTTTAGTATCCGAGACTTACTGAAGTTCAAAGAAGAAGTGACCAAGGAGCGAGATCAGCTCCTGTCAGAAGTGGTGAAGCTGCGGGAGTCCTTAGCTCAGACCACTGAGCAGCATCAGGAGATGGAGCGAGCGAAGGAGGAGGCCCAGCAGACCATCAGTCAGGTGGGCTTGCCGTGCAGCCCCGAGTGAAGCCAGGCTGCCTCCCAGGGCCACCTGGCCTGCCCTTCCCTTTCCCAAGCATCCTTTGCTTGCTTCTCGGGTGCCTTCTCCCAGCAGTCATTTTTCCTGAGCTGTCCTTTCTCTGACCTCTGGGAAATCATCGAGGCAGGGACTTGGTATTCACAGTTGGGCCCCAAGCTGGTGTCCCAGCCAAGGCCAGAGGTACTGTGCTGGGCTTAGGGGAGTCGTGCCCTTGACTGCTCTCCTCTGTAGGAAAGCCATCTGGCAGAGTCCTGTGAGCATCGTTACATAGGAAGCCAGAAGTCGAATGGGAAAATATTCTCACAGCTGGGGAGAAAGGCAGGAGGCTTGAGCACAAGGAAAAGGCTCTAGACGGGCACAGGAAACCACAGCATTGTTTAGCGTATCTGGGAGTATGGTGAGCACCGCTGGGGCTGAAGGCAGCTGGCTGCATTTTGCTTAGTCCCTGCCCATGCAGACCTGGGAGGAATCTTTTCTTCGTTTAACCCCAGAACTTGGGTTTCTTTGTTTAGTTGATTTGATACCATCCTCTGCTAATCTGCTACTCACCATTGGGGTGACACTGGGTAACAAGGCCCTGAAAAACAATCTTTTTTTTTTTTTTTGTCTTTTTCGTTTTTATCGGTACCAGGGATTGAACTCACGACTGCCTGCTTGCAAGGCAGGTGCTTATGCCGCTGAGCTAAATCCCCAGCCCCCTGAAAAACAATCTTGAACATTCCTGAAAGGCTTGGGGCTCAAGGGTGACTGTTCCTCAGGAAATACCACCGCACAGTGACTGCCCTGCTCGTGACAGCCCTGAGAGAGGGTGGGACTGCCTGAGTGACAGCTGTCTCTTTTCTCCCTGTCCTGTGTGTGACTGCCCCCCCGCCCCCCAACCAGTTCCAACAAGAAATCCAGTATCGCCAGAATGAGGCCTCGAGGGAGTCTCGGAAGAAGGAGAAACTGGAGAAGGAGCTCAAGCAGATCCAGACCGACATGGACACCAGGCAGACGGAGATCAAGGCCCTGCAGCAGTATGTGCAGAAGAGCAAGGAGGAGCTGCAGCGGCTGGAGCAGCAGCTCAAGGAACAGAAAGTGAGCGGGGCTGGGCTGGCCGTGAGGGGCAGGGGTGGTACCAGGGGTCCCTCTGGCTTTGGGGCTGGCAGCAAGGGTTCTTCATTATGATAACGGGTACAGGCCATCTAGCAAGTAGCTGGATCTCTGATCGGTTCTTCCAAGGTAGTTACAGGTCCTCCTCTGCACTCCTGGCAGCTCTGATAGGTTTATCATCATCGTTGTTATTCTTACTAGTAGTTTTATACTGGAAGTTAAAAGCACATTGGGCTATATCCCCAGCCCTGTTCTTATTTTGTATTTTGAATCTTGCTCATTTAGAGCAAGACTTGAACTAAGGATTCTGCTGCTTCAGCCTCCCAAGTCACTAGACTTACAGGCATGAGCCACTGTGCCCAGCAGTGAATTTCTTATGGTATTTAATATATGCATAAAAGTGTGTATGTCACAAGTGTGCAGCATAATGCACACTAACCACTCAGCACAACTTGGTCTCCTGTACCCCCTTCTAGAAGCAGAACATTCTGGCATCCTAGAAACCCCATTGTGTCCCCTCACCATCCTTTCTTCTCAAAAAGCCACCTCTATTCTGAGTCTTCAGCAGACATGAGTTTTGCACAGAAATGAAACGTACAGTAGACACACTGTTTTGTGTCTAACCTCTGTTGTATTCTGTTGGTGACACGGCATGTAGCTATAGACCTGCAGTAGTCAAATGGTCTCCATGAATCCACATGTGGCCATTCACAGTTATTAGAAGGAAGTGAATTCAGGGTTCACTTTGGTTTCCTCAGCTGCCCTCGTGCCATTTCCAGCACCCAGCAGCAACACGTGGATAACAGTTACTCTAGCGATGCACATGGAGAACACTGCATCGCTGAGAGTCTACAGAGCAGAATTCAGCGGGCCATTCTCTCCCACTCCCACTGGTATCGCCCCATGTGTGCAATCCATGATTTATTCCTAACACGTTTATTTTTAAGTTTCAAGTTTCAAAAACCATACCAAATCCACATGCATATTTGATATAATGTTTTTAATACTCCCCCTCATATAGCTGCTTAACAAAAATTTGGTTGTCTCCTTCCTTCCTTTCCTCCCTTCCTCCTTCTTTCCCTCTCCCCCTCTTTCTTTCTCCTTTGTTTCTTTCAACTTCTGGGGACCCAACCCAGAGCCTTGGACCTGCAGGGCAAATGCTATATCATTGAATTACACCAGGGCCCTGATTTTTCATTTCCTAAGGAAGTAATTAATACAAAGTATTTTCAGGAAGTCCTTTCTGAAGATGTGTCAAGATGGGTAACAGTTTTCTACATTAAAAATGAATACAGTTCTTTGTCCTTCACTTTATTAATTTTATATAAACCCAGAATTCAAGTAGGTAATGCACAATATGTAGTCTCCAGGAGAAAAATCCTAGACTTTGAACATGAAATTTAAAAGAAATGCCTCTGAACCTCTGGATAAAACCACTTTGTGTGGCAGCACCCAGAACCCATGTAAAATGAAATTTCATCTTTAGCAGGCTGGTTATACTTGGTTTAGTCCTTGTTGTTTGGGGGTTGGATGTAGTCTTTCCATGTCTAGTTTTGTTTTGGGCTTTTTTTTTTTTTTTTATAATTGGGAATTACATTTTGAAGGAAGCTCCTATTCTTTAGGAACCAATTTCTTTAGTTCATTTGCAATCCTGCTACTTCCCAGAAAGAAATGATCTCATAAGATAATAGATATAATCCACTACTTTTCATAACACCATGTCTGCTCAGAGTAGTCATGACAGGAGAGAGGAAAATCCAGCTGACAGTGAAGCCAGGCAGATATAAATCCTCCACTGTTGTTCCACAGTTTTACTAATGCTGGATTAGGAGAATTGTCTCTGTGCTGGTAGTGCTGAGCAGTTCTGTTCACAGAAGTGTTGTCAGCGTGTTAACGCTGGATTTGCTTCTGAAGATGTAGCTTCAAACCCCAGTGCTGATAAAACCATTTGGTTCTCTAGCTCATTTGCAATGATTATAGTAATTGTTCTGTATGCAAAGCCTGCCAAATGGCAAACAGGCATTAAAATATTTATCCACCACCTGTGAACAAGACTTCCCAAGGCTTCAAAAAAATTATGCTCACTGTGTTATTCATCAGGAGGCATCATTTTCCACAGCCATTTAACATTCATCATATCTGAGTGCGTGAGAGCTTTCGCTGGGGATAACGAACAATTTCTCAAAGACAAAGAAGTATGGTTGCTTGTATCTCGCCAGGAGGTTTGTTGGGCCTCCTGAGTGTGTATGTAGACACTGTAATCAGATTAAAAAGCTTAACTAGATCCTTCTCTTCATGCCTTTCAGATACTGAATGAGAGAGCTGCAAAGGAACTCGAGCAGTTCCAGATAAGAAATTCTAAACTTCAGCAAGAGAACGAGCAGCACAGCCTGGCTTGTGAGCAGCTGTCCCAGGAAAACCAGCAGAAGGCACTGGAGCTCAAAGTAGGCACCAAGTGACCTGCTTGTTCCCTAGCCCTTCCCTCCTCATCACTTTTGCAAGGATGTGGGTTTGGATGAACTGTGGTAGCTCTGCCAGGGCCTGCATACACTAGAGGCTGAAGCCAGACTTATACAGTTGCTTTATGCACAGAAGCAGTTTGAAAACTTCCAACCTGATTATTGATCATATGACTATGCAAATGCTTTCTAAAGCAAGTTCAGATGTTCATTTCTGTAATCTGCCTTGCGAGTAACCAGTTGCCCAGAGCTATGGGCTGGAGAAGCAAAGAATTGAGTTTGTGTCTTTTTCTCTCGAGAAGATAGGGTGGGACTCCTGGGTATTTATATTTAGGGTTGTAGAGTCCCACTACTGTATAATATATATTCCAAGACTGGTTTCCTGTTCTTCTCCCTCCCATCGCTGAAGAGTGCTTGCAAGTTAAGCTTGGATAAGCTTTTACACTCAGATATGTATGTGCTTTTGTGTTAACAGGATAGCTTTATGTTTATTACTTTAATTCTGAAAAATTCATGTTTCTGACTTCTGTTATGTCATAAGATCAGATATAAAAGGAGTAGCCTATCACAAAAAACAAAGATTTGAGCAATAAAGCACAACATATTTGTATGACAATCTCTCTTGAGAATGTCCCAAGCGCACACACACACACACACACACACACACATGCACACGCATGCACACACACACACTCTTAGGTGCACATCTTGCTTTCTTTTTGAGGCAGGGTCTCATTAAGCAGTTCCGGCTGGCCTTGAACTCATTTCATAGCACAGGCTGGCCTCGAACCACAGAGCGATCCTCCTGCCTCAGCCAGTCAAGTGCTGGGATTACAGGTGTGCACCACCACACCTGGCACACACCCTGTATCTTGTTTTTCACTCTTTCTGGAAATGGGAGATTTCTAGGATTTTTCCGACATCTAACCAAGGGTTCTGGATTAATAACCGTTGAGTTAGATCATTTTAGAATTGAAAGAGGGCTTACAGTCAACTATATTAAACCTTCTAGCGTATGAGGGTCTGAGGCTGAGGACTATTTAAAGCAGCCTGGAGTAGGTTGACTTGGAATTGATTGAAACTTTGAAAACTTGAAACAGAAATGAAATGATTACTTGAGCTGGAATAATAATATTGGCCTTCAAGGTGAAAGCAAAGGAAAAATATGTATGCGTCAATTTGCTCCTTTGATAACATGAATGTGACATTTTTAAAGATGGGCTATTTCTGTCCTCAGATCCTGTACCTAATGGGGTGGGTGTCTAGCAGCACCCAGGGGATAACTTACAGTGATAATTTCAGTCTCTTCATGATCAGGAACCAAGATAATTGCTGACCATTGTTTGCAGGTAAATCCTCTATTACTTTTCCAATCATTTCTACTGACAACATTTTTAAAAAGTGAATTTAATTTAAAAAAATCTATGAAACAAAGTCGGTAGACAAAAAAAGGTCTGGAGATTTTCTTTGCTAGGCTCATTTTTGGCCCCTTTTGTCATTCCATACCTTTGCTTAACTCATAGACTAAAATACTTTGAGGAAGGTGGTGTGTGTAACTGGGTTACAGTTGCCTTAGGGGTCCAAAAGATTGTTTAAATATTTTCTCACATGTTAATATCCTTCTCAGAGACATCACTTTTTGTAGTTACATGAAAATTGATAATTGAATACAATATTTGTATGCAAAATCCATATACTCATGATATGTACAGCTTTGTATTCTTATTTAGCTCTATAATTAATTAATTAACCTGAAACAGGTTATATTAGTCTTTTCATTGGTCTTCATTTATATAGCCACATGTTTTATTCAGAGAATAGAGGTTTTAAATTTCTCTCAAAACCAAGCGGTGTGTGCTTGAGTTTAATCCACAAGACAGTGTTACACTGATATCAGGCCTTTTATCGGTTCTGAGTCTGTCACCATTCAGTCCCTGGCTCTTTACTTACATACCTTCTTAATTCTCTCTTACTCATTACAGGCCAAGGAGGAGGAAGTCCATCAAATGCGCCTTGACATTGGGAAGCTCAACAAAATTAGAGAACAAATCCATAAGAAATTGCATCACATCGAAGATCAAAAGGCAGAGGTGGAGCAACACAAGGAAACCCTAAAAAATCAGATCTTGGGATTAGAGAGAGGTAAACCATTTTGTTCCCCTGTTTTCTTCTCGCTTACAAACACCTCATTAATTGTGAATATCATCAGGTCCCCCAAGACTCTGTGTGTACAAACACACCGGGCTGAATGTAATCAATATGACCACCTTCACTCTGGTAACCAGCCAACACGGAAGGGCCGTCATTCAGACACCTTAAACGTTATGCCTTAACAAAGTATTTCAGGAGTTCTATTGGCCCAGTGTAGTCAGCCCAAGTATTGCCCAGCATTTGTCTGAGGGGTAAATAACCCTAAACTCTTAGGGCTGTCCATGGATCATAAGGGAATGTGTTAAAATGAATGTTGTTCATCACACAGCCTGGGACAAGAGTACAGACAGCACCTGGCATAGAGATTACTTCCTAAATGCCAGGCATTATCGTCTGGATACACTGCTATTTTCCGAGTGAGAATATAAATAAAAATATGGTATATTGGCCAAATTTGATGTGGTGGAAATAGCTCTGGGCTGGGGGCAGAGCCTCTGGAGATGACTTCTGGCTACAGAAGGCAGGAATGCTTGTGTCCACTGACCTCTTGCAGCTGCTGTGAATTATAAATCAATGAATGAGATTAACACATACAAAAGCATCAACGCATGCAGTGCCCCACTGTAAGTTGGTAAAATCTAAATCTCTAGGTAAGGTGCTTAGAAATATTTAGCATTTAAATCTTTGAGAAGTGCAGATATTTTTCCTTCTAAGGCACTAAGAAATAAGCTTTTATTGAGGTGCAACTGCAAATTATCTAGACGATTTCTCTGCTCTTCTGTTCAGTGTACTGAGTATAGACTGCACAGGCTTTGGCGGAGGCAGTAGACTCTGCCTCCAGCCTACTCGCAGGCTAGGGTGAGCTCACAACTGTATTGGTGAGGTTTCTCTAGAAGCATGAGGATGCGCTGTCAGTCCAGGGCTGGAGGTCTTGGGAGTCACTGATGTGAATCTACAGTGAAGAAGCTGGAGTCTGTTGTCCAGAGGCGAGGGCAGCAATAAGAGATGTCCCTTTGCCAGCAGAGCCCAGCTTGCTAGTGCAGGCCAACTGCCACCTGTCTTTCATCCCCGTGTTTTGGGGACCAGGTCTTAGCATGCAGGCTTGAACTTACTGTGATCCTCCTGCCTTAGCCTCCTCGGTCCCAGGGTGTGCCATCCCCTGGCCATGCCGCTTCCTCTTTTTGTTTCATCAGGGCTGCCAGCTTATTGGTTGGTGCTGCCCACAATCAGGGCAGGTCATCCTCCCCACTTTGCTGGCCTGCATGCTGGCCATCTCTGGAAACAGCCCGCAAGCACTTGCAAAGCTGCTTTACTGATCTCCTTGATGTCTTAATCTGCTCAAGCTGACAGTGGGGATCCACTGTCACATGACCCGCTGCCTTCAACGACAGATGTGAAGAAAATGGAACCGTTAGAACCTCTGACTGGCTGAGAGAGCATCAGAACACTCCCTATTCAAATTTCTGCAGTTTTGCGTGCAATTTTGCTAAGCTTTGAGAACAAAAATATTTCTTTAAAAATTCATTCAGCACTGAACTCAGTTCTTTCACCTTTAAGTCATGTTTACATAAGTCATCACGCTATAGGTTTATTCACCTTGCCATTTCTTCTCAAGGACATTTTTATTTTTTAGTTAGACATGTTTGTGATACACTGTGCTTACACTCAGCTTGGGGCTTTGATGCATATACATAGGGCATCTTAGACATTTTTACTCTCTCTGCCATCCCTATCCTCCTGTTTCTCTCTTTCCTCAGTTTCACTTCTCATCTCTACCATGTCTACCTCCGTTTCTTAGCATGTCTTCATTTTGTTCTTTATTTATATTTTGGGTCTATCATACTGGAGAAACCATGTGACATTTAACATTGTTTTGGGTACAGGGGATCGAACTCATGACCTCCCACTTGCCGGGCAGGCACTTGTGCCGCTGAGCTAACTCTCTGGCCCTAACCTTTTTTGACAGACTTCTTTCACTTAACATTATACTTTCAAGAGCCATCAGCTTTCCTGAAAATGACTCACATTTATCCTTCCTGATGGCTGAGTAGTGCTCGTGTGTGGAGAGACACCACATTTTCTCTGCCCATTGATGGACACATACGCTGCTTCCATGACTTTAGCTTTGTGAGCTGTGTTCTAAACACACTGGTATGCTTTTATTGTCATAGTACAATCCCTGTAGCTGCCTCTTTTAGGAGGATAGCTAGGAGAATGTAACTGTGTCAAATGGGATTTCTAATTTTAGTTTTTTGAGAAATATCCATACTGATTTCCAAAGCAGATTTACTAATTTACATTCCTGTCACCAATGTATAAAAGGTTTCTTTTCTCCAGAGCCTGACAAGCGTGCATTGGGTTTTGAGCCCGGGATAATGGCCATTGTTACTGTCACGAGGTGGACTCCATGTTGCTCTGATTTGCATTTCTCTGCCAGCCAAAGATGCTGAACTTATTTTTCATGTACTTTTTGATCATTTGTATTTATTCTTCTGAAGATGATTTCAAGGGTCCATTTTTTGAGTATGTCTTTTATTTATTTATTTTTCTTACTGGGGATCAAACTCATGACCTTATGCTTGCCAGACAGGTGCTCATGCCGCTGAGCTAAATCCCCAGCCCCAAGTGTGTCTTTTTATTTGTGGTGGCCTAATTTTTTTTTTTTTGAGTACATAGCTTAGATATTAGTGTTCTGTCTGGGGAGTAGCTGATAAATAAAATTTGTTTTCCATTCTGTAGATTGTGTCTTCACGTTATTTAATCTTTCCTTTGCTGTGCAGGGGATTTGACATAATTTCATTCGCGGATTCTTTTAATGTTATTTCTTGTGCACTTGGTGCACTGTTCAGGAAGTTTTGCCTGTGCCTATGTTTTTAAGAGTTTTGCCATTTTTTTTCTCCCCAGTAAATTCAGTGTTTCTGGTTTTATATGTAGGTCTTTGATTGGGTTTTGATTTGATTTAGTACAAGATGAGAGTTATGGATTAAAATTCATTCTTCTGCATGTTGAGATGCAATTTGTCCAGGACCTGGATAAAGAACTGTCTTTACACCAACACATATTATTGGTCACTTCATAAGTAATCAGACAGTGATGGTTTTGGGCTATTTCTGTGCTCTTTATTCAATTCCATCGGTCAATATGTCTGTGTCTAGGCTGGGACCATGCTGTTTTTCCTTCTGTGGCTTTGTAGTGTAACTTGAAGCCTGGACCTATAATGCCTCCTGCCTTGCTCTTGTTGCCCAGGGTTTATTTATGTGGTCTTATTATATTGTCCAGGCTCTTTTGAATGCCTGGGTTGAAGAGTGAGCCTCCTTGCTTAGCCTCATGAATAGCTGAGATGACAGGCATGTGCCACAAAGCCAGCTGCACCTGATCAGAGTGGCACTGGGTATAATAGGAGTATGAGTCCTCCCTATGTTATAATTTCTACCATAAGAGATGAACTAGAAGACTACCAAAGCTAAAACAAGATCTCAGTAGGGTGGCAGATTATAACATAGACCAAAAATAGCAGTTAGAATAGGTGATGGAGAAGCTTCCATTCACAATAGCAATTAAAGTAATAGAATAAGGTGAGTGAGCCGGTGTGGTGTTGCATATCTGTGGTCCCAAAACTCAGGAGGCTGAGGCAGGAGGATCACCATAAGTTCAAGGCCAGCCCGGGCTACATAGTGAATTCAAGAGCAGCTTTAACTACATAGTGAGATCCTGTCTCAAAACAAAACAAAACAACCTCCTCAAACCAACCAACTGAAAAACCAAAAGAAAATACCCTAAGTGAAGTTACCAAGATATCTGCAAAATATTTGTACAAAGTTGCAGTGAGTTGTAAGGAAGGCTTGAGAAATGGATATATATTCCGAGTTCCTTGATAAGAAGACTCAGTATGATAAAAGTATAAATTGGTCCAAATCAATCTATACATTTAAAATTTCCAGGAAAAATTTCAGTAAGCTACATTGTATGGAACTTGATCTACTGTTCTTCCAGAAGAGTAAACATATAACGGTAGCTATAAAATTCTGAAATGAAGGCTGAGGGAGTGTTTATCTTACCAGAAATTTAAATATGTTATAAAGATTCCATAATCAAACAGTGAAGTCATGGCATCCAAATAAACAGCTCAACAGGAAAGTTGTAAAGTCTATAAAAAACTCCAGGTTACCCTCTAAGTCAAGGTGTTGTTATACACAGAGTATGTACTGTGGATTATTGTGAAAATGGCTGCGTGACAAAAACTGCCTTTTGAGGGAATCAAGAATATCAAACATTCAAACAATAGAATCAACACTGAGAAAATCAGTGAAATAAAAGTTAAAATTTTCTTTTAATCTAAGACTTTAAAGGTAAATTGACCAAAGGTAAATGGACTATGAAAGTCCTTAAAAATATACAGTAAAGATAAGCAATTCGTGAGAAGAACTGACAGAGGGTAAATGTGGTCAATTCAGAAAACAGAAATACAAATAAATGGTCATTAAGCATAAAAACAGACAACTCTGCTAATAATCAAAGAAATGCAAATGAAATACTGACATACTAGGTTTAAAAAACCCATCAGGCTGGCAGATATCAAAGCAAATGATGACCCCTATTGGTGGTTTTGGTGAGGATTTAAATTGTTACTAATTTTCTGCAGAGAATTTAGTGGTAAGAGGAAACTATCTCTTAAAAAACCAGGACTTCCTCTTTTGGAGGACAAATGGACAAGAAAATAACAGAATTATTCCTTCCAGCCACACACACACAAAATTGGAAGCCATTTATTATTTATTTATTTTATTGGAGTAATTTAAAGGTTAAAATGAGAGATTGGTTAAGTAAATTATATATTTTCACGTTGCAAAACAGTGAAGTTATTCAAAATTCTGATGTAGGTATGCATTTATCCTATAGATAGGAACTTTTTCTATGGTTGTTAATTATAAAATCAAGCAACAAAATAGTACATATAGCATAATTCCTGTTTTGGGGTGTGTGTATCTGTGTGTATGTTTATGTTTACACACAGACACATATTTGCACAGAAAAAAGACTAGAGAGAAATATACCAAAATCCTAAGTAGATTTTGGTTAATTTATTTTTTTCTAACTTATTTCTGTATTTCTACTTACTTGTGCAATTAAACAAAAAAAAGGATTTTTAAAAGATCAAGGACTTTTTGGAACCAAAGAAACCAAACTCCTCATCTTAACCCTGCATCTGTTGCTGCGGTCCCTCCTGGTGTGGACTCTCTAGGCCTTGGTTTTCGTCTGTTTACTGGGTCCTTATAACCCACTTCACTGAGTTATGATGAGGACCGTAAAGCGCTCAGTAGTGGTTTCACAGCTGCAGATAACCGTGTAGAGGACTTTTTGAGGTTGTTTTGGCAGATTCTCTCCTGAATGGCCTCTGCATTTGTTGTTTTTTTCCCCGGACAATTTAGAGGTGGAGACTTCGAAAAAACAAGCAGAACTGGATAAGAAAGCAATGGATGAGCTCCTGCGTGAGAGAGACATCCTAAATAAGGTGAGCATCTTCCTGTACCACTGGGAAGGAGATGTCTTGGTCTTGGGTGTTTTAATGTCTCCCTGTAACCAGCTGTGTGTGGAAAGAAAACTCCGAGGCACCCAAAAGTAGATGAGAATCAATAATAGAGCTTCTAAGCTTACAGCCTTCCATTCACTGGCCTTGAACTGAAACCGGATTATCACCCAGGAGCACAGAACTTTGGAGAGTTAGCATATAAACCAGTTGGGGATTTCTGAGTATTTTGTGGTTTCTGTTTTCCATGCTTGTGTGTTATTTGGCATCCTCAGCAGCTGATCAAATTTTCTGAAGTTAATATCTATTATCTACAATTTTGGCTAATCCAAAAATTACAAGTGTGAGTGTTAATTAAATTTGAGCTTTGAAGCATTACGTATGAAAATGGCCTATCAGGATTTTCGTCTCCTGTCTTTTGAGCTTGTTGTGGGTTTGGTTTTCGTCTCGAGGCCCATCTCATCTGGTGCCTGCATGCTTGGAGGTCTGGAGAGGTGGGAGAGCAGTTGAAGGCCTTGAGATGCTCCACTGCAGGCGGGAGCCCTTCTTCTTTTTTGGGGGGAGCCCCTCTTCTTGCTGCCCAGCTTGGGAAGGATTCTTCATGACTGAGGACCACTTAGGTTGACTGCTCTCAGGGATGTAAGGCCAATTTCCTGGCTCAGAGATTTCCTCCGGGTGGACGGAGCTGTGGTTGCGGTGTGGAGGGGCGAATGGACTGATTGTTCCTTTGACTTTATTCACAGAGTCTCTGGGAATTGTGGGAGGTCACTTCTGTCCATGCGGCGTTCTTTGAAAACCACTGAAGTCTTCCCTTGCACCCTGATTTTGGAAACTGTTTCTTTATTCTATAAATTTGTATATTTTAACAATACTTTTATACTTATTTTTAATATATTCAATATTTAACTCATTTATATTCGCATTATACTGGTGAACAACTAATAGTTTTTTTTTTTAACCTCAAGGGGTCAGGTGGTACAACCCTACTTTTACATTTATTTGGTTTAATTAATGCCTGTTCTTCCTTTAGGGCAGGATATACCTTTTAATTTTTAAAAGTTTTCCTGGTCATTGCATTCTTACTGACTAGTGCAGTACTGGCCTCTGCAGTTTTGCAATCAACCTTTATTGGTAATAAATTTTTTCCCCACTGATTTGAAAAACTATCTTCTTCGAAAGTGTGAATAACATGTTTCGATAGGCTGCAACATGAATACACTGTGATCCTTTCAGTGTCATGTGAAGTGACCTTGTCTTTTCTACAACAAATGCTTACCCAATTGCTGAAAATCAAACTGGTTTTATACCTCATCACCCGAGCAGTGTTCCCTGGCCATCTCATCTGCTGATGGAACAGTGGTTCTCAGAGCTAGCCATGTGTGAGTTCCTTTGGGATTTGAGAAGGAACCTGAAGGTACTTTGTGGTTCAGCTGGGCCCTGGGGAGTGGCAGGAGCATGACCTGGCACTGCTGGGTGGAAGACTTTGTTCTCCATGGCCAGACTTCCTGTTGGGTGTCCAGTCCGTTCCTCTTTCTGTGAAAACCGTTTTCTTATCCATCTGGCGGAAACACAATTATCACCATCTGCTCCCAAGTTCATGTCTTCTACTAAGTTGCAGAAATCTGAGTGTGAAGGCATAGTGGCCAAGGGCTAGTGGTAGAAGGCCTACTTAGTATGCACGAGGCCCTGGGTTTGACCTCAGAAAGCACAAGTGTGCGCACACACATACACACACACACACACACACACACACACACACACACACACACACACTGAAAGGCCCTATTTCAGAAGTCCCAGGGAGGGCCGCAGGGTCTATTCGGTTGTGACCAGGGGATGGAGCCATCCTATTGAGCATGGTTGCCAGGTAGAACCGTTGTTCCTGCCATGTGTTGGAAGGTGTTGGGTGGCCAGCTTGGCCTTTCATTTTGTCATCAGACATCAGTAGTGCAGGTGATGGATCCCATTCTAGAAACACTGAATCAGTGAGACTGGGTTTGGGGTGTGGTATCTGCTTAAAAAAACCACTAGGTTAAAAACTTTTAAATGTGGACATCTGTCTGTCTGTCTACCTATCTATCTATCTATCTATCTATCTGTATCTATCTATCTATCTATCTATCTATCTATCTATCTATCTATCTCTACATATCACAAACATCTTGAGTGGCATGTAATACATTCACAACCTTTTGCCATTCTCACCATTATCTGGTTCCCATCATCCCAAAGAAAACAAACTCGCCTTCAGCAATCGCTGCTCATTTCTCTCCCCTCCTACCCAGGGCAACTACTAAACTGCTTCTGCATCTGTGGATTTGGCAACTCTGGGCTTTCATATTAACAGGGTCATCCGCCATGTGACCTTTGGTGCCTGGGATCTTTCGCTAGGATGATGTTTTCAGGTGCTATCAGTGTGGTGGCATTCTTCAAGTGCTTCACAGCCTTTTTTGTCCTTTCATGCTGAAAGGACCCACCTGTTTCTGTAGATGTGTTCTTCTGCCTGTGGGCATGTGGATTGTTTCTGTTTTTGGTGTTTGTGAAAAATGCAATGATGAGCAGTCTCCTACCAGGTGCGGCTTTCATTTCTTCCAGGTTTATACCCAGGAGTGGACTTGCTGGGTCCTATGTTAATTCTAGGTATCTGTGTTTTTATTAAACTGATTTTGTCTTGTTTTGTAGTCATAGGCCAAATTATAGAAGGAGTTTCCATTGTTCTAATCTCATCAGAGAGAAGCCAGAGCTGTGGCGAAGGTGGAAAGGGGTAGACTTCGGGACCAGCCAGTCGTGGGTTCTGTCCTGGCTCTGCCGCTGCCTTGTTTTATAAATTTGTCGGAGAGTAGCTTAACTACCACTCTCCACTTCCCACTCCTGGGACAGGAGCAAGGCAGAGCCTACTTCCTAGGGACACCGTGGTTGCTTAGTGGATTTACCAGTGTGTTTAAAGTGTGCTTGTCTGTAACCCCAGCACTGAGGAGGCTGAAGTGGGAGGACTGAGAGTTCAAGGCCACCTGGGGCTACCTGGCAAGTTAATGGCCAACCTGGACACGTGGTAAGATCTTATGTTCAAAATGAATAATAAATAAATGAATAAAATTAAAAAATAAATAAAATGCCTTGTGCAAAATTAACATAATAGATTCTTAATAATCTGTAAAGAATATCATTTTTATTCACACAAAAGAGAAGGCATGTGATTATTTTATGGTTAAGGTAGTGGGTAAACTTTGAGTAACCCAAACCCTCAGACATTGAGAAGGATGTGATGGCCTTACTGTCCTTGTTTTCAGAACATGCTTAAGGCCATTAACGCAACCCAGAAGCAGGTAGACCTGGTAAAGCTCCATGAACAAACCAAGCGGAATCTGGAAGAAGAAATCCAGAACTACAAGGAGGAGGCCCAGAAGCAGAGAAAGATCATCTTTCAGCTGGAGAAGGAGCGTGATCGGTACATCAGTGAAGCCAGTGACTACACCCAGAAGGTGAGGCGCATATGGCTGCAGGGGTGTGAGGTGTGTGCTCTCCTCTGCATTGCTGTAAGGACTGTGTGTTCAGACTGGTTTGCACGCAGCCTTCAGAGGAATGATACTGACGGAATACAAGCTGCCCCAGGGCTGGTCCTGGACCACATTTTGAAGTGGATAGTGCTTCCTGTCTGCTCCGTTCTTGTTCTCCTGGCCCCTGTGTGACAATACCAGGGCTGCAGGTGATGCCATCTCTTAACCCTTTATTCTCACCCCACATCTGTCACTGAAGCTCTTGTGTTGCAAACTAAGGCTGATAACCAGTTATTAGAAGAGCGGCACCCAATTAAATGACCTCACATTTCTTTTTGTTTGTTTCATTTTTGATCTCCCAAAGTTTTGTGTATTGAGATATGGTTGGATCACGGGGGTGCTACACTCATCAGTGGATTCTTGGCTGAATGTGGCATTAGGAGGTGGGGCCTGGTTGGACGTGGTCACTGGAGGCGTCACCTGGAGGGTGTATTCTTGTCTTGGGCTTTTCCCTTTCTCTCTCTGCTTCTTGGGTGCCGTGGGTTGTGTAGCAGTTTTCCTCCACCATGTCTCGTTTACTGATTCTGCTTGCAACCAACCTCCATGGACTGCATCCTCTGAAATGTGAGCCCAAATAAGTCTCTCCTCCTGTTATGGTTTGTATCTGGATGTCCCCTCAAAGCCTCATGCAGTTCTAGATGAGGGTTTTTTGGAGGTGGCTGAATCTAGAGTGTGACTGACTCATGGCTCAATGCTAGGGTTAAGGGTACTGGGATTAAGAGCGGGTGATTGCTGAGTCAGTCCACCAGTTGTCTTGGCACCACCCTAACCCCAGTAGACTGGATATCAGATAAGGGACAGACAGAGGCATGTCTTCCCCTCCCCTTGCTTGCTGTTGCTGTCTTCTACTCCCATGAATTGTTTCTCTTTTGTGGTGCCTGTCTGCTATGTGCCACCCAGCCTTGGAGCCAGCCAATTATAGACTGAAACCTCTACAAACTGTGAGCTAAGTAAAGCTTTTCTCCCTAACTCAGAGTGTTGGGTATTTTGTCTCAGTAATGAGAAAAGTTAATCAAGATACCTCCTTTAAGTTAGGGATTTGAATATTTTGTCCAAGTGACAAGATTGTGACTAATAAAAATAATAATAACTAAAACTCCAGCACTGGTGTGTTGAATGACTGAATTCTGGATCTCTCCTTATAAATCTCTTGAGAAGGAGGCTCAGTGAGTAGGAAGGACCTTGTGGGTTTGTGTTTAGCACACTGTCTATGTTACGTATGAAAGTTAAGCTCTCTGAAGCACCCTTGGGTGGTGTAAAGCACAGGTCCAGGGATGAGGTTGGCAATGGGAAAGGACAGAATTTCTGGCTGTGAGGCTGAGAAGAAAGTTTGAGGAAAGGAATCATTTAATAATTTTTTCCCTAGCAAAATTGTTGTGTTCTGGTCAGTGTAAGCCTCCTCCTTGTCAATGAAACCCATAGTGAATTCTAGAGTGTATCTGAATGCTTTTTCACGTTTGTGCTTCATGTTGGTTTTTGGAGTGACATTTTAAAGAAGATGACCAGAAGACAGTCACTCTTTGGATTGCACACATAAAGTAACCGGGAAGCAAACATCAGTGGCACAAACCAGTTTCTTTCTACTTAGACTAAGCAGATGCAGAGCAAGGGTTCATAGAAGCAGGAGGAGGAGAGCTGGTGTCTGTGCTCCTTCCAGCCCTGGCAGGCCTGGTGTCCTGATGTCATTCGCATCCCTTGAGGGTGAGTCACAGAAGTGACTTGCTTCCGACTTAATTGTTTCTGGAGCCCATGGAGTTGATGTGCGGACTTCAGGACTTGTTCAGACCTTGCGCGCTGGAGTCAGGAGTAAGTCTCTGCCCTCGTCAGCTTGACTTCAGCAAGTTGACTCTTGTGTCCCCATGGCTGACAGCTGTGAGATTAATGTCCTTTTGTTTGTTCACCTAGATGGCCACGGGAGTCAACTGTGGCCTTGCTTCATGTCCTCTTGGCTCCACAAAGACTATTGATATATTCTGCTCTATTGACCAAGGAAAGTAGTGACATAGTGGAAACTTGTGACCCTCCTTAGCTTCAGCTGATGAGGAGGAGGGCTTAAGGCCTGCCTGCTCTTACTCCACTGTCCACAGGCAGGTGCATGGCCATGTCCATGTGCTGGAGCAGGGCCTGGGGGAGATGTGCCTTGGTACTTGAACGAGTGACCTCATCTTTTGCAGCGTCTTCTTCCCCAGCGAGCAGGTGAGTACTCTCTCCTTCTAGGCTCCAGGGCACCACAGTTATAGCTTACTCTGCAATCCCACTGCGTTTTATCATTATAAAGCTGTGTCACCCCTCAGGCCTTCATGGAAGTGCTTCCTTACGTTCTTTCTAACATTGCAGCATATGAAGACAATTTCATGCCTACAGCATGGGGTAATGAGGCTTGAGGCAAGTCATGGCTAGGAGACAGAAAAGAGACCAGTGTAGAGTCAGTTTCTAATGGTGGGACTGAGTCCTATATCAAACATGCAATGAGAAAATATTTTCTGGAGATGAGGAACTGTATATAGCAACTGGCTAAGTTACGGGTAAGGTCAGTAGTAAGAGACTGTCTATAAAACTTCCCCAGAAGGAAACTTCATTGTGTGTGCTTTATCTATAATGATGAAGAAAATTTAGGAAAGGAAAAAAGAAAACAGAAATCTCGCAGTTTCTTATTTTGAAATAGGAGAAAAGAATAGAAGAAAATAGGGTAACACCTTAATAATGGTTATGTCTGGTTGGTAGGGATACAGATGGTTTTAATATCCTCCTTTTATGGTTTTATTTGGTGTTTTTGAAATTTTCTAAAATGGATATGTGTTACTATAGTATACTCATTAAAAAAGCAACATTAATAACAGTGTGGCCTTGATTCAAGCCAAATAAAATTCCATGTTTCTCAAGGATCTTTATTAAAAGTGACCTCTATTCTCTAGACTTGGCTCCTCCTTCTGGAAGCCAAGGAGTTCTGTCTTAGCTCACTGTTGTTTGCATGTCTGTCTCCATCTACCTACTGACTTGTTGGGGATAAGTCTCACTCAATTTTGAGCTCCTCATTCCTAAACAAGTGCTCAGATATTTTGCAAAGGATAGGTGAATCGCTTAATTGGACATCTGAATTAACTAGTGAGAGGCTCTCCTTATGTATCTGAATTGAGATGTTCAATAACGTATGTATAGTGCTTAGCACTGTGGGTCTGCCTTTCCTTCAAATTCATGTAATTCATGAATCTGGATTATCTGCAGTATTTCCAGCTGACAGTAACTTCATCAAGGTCTATTTTCTGGGCTGCACAAACAGCAGGAACATATGCCATCTGGCTCTTTCTGGCTTACAGAAAGAAAAGTATATGTTAGTTGCTAAAAGACTTATGCTGGGTTTTATTAACCTGGCCTTTGCAGATGACAGAGAAGCTCCTCCTTTGAGCAGGATGTGAAGGGGCTGCATCCCCAGCCATTTCTAATGTTTGTTTCAATCTATATTTGCCACAAGGATGCTGTGGCACAAACACGAAACCTCAGCCACACACACACACACACACACACACACACACACACACACACACACGCACACACATACAAGCACTGAGTTCTTGCTCACGGGTCTGCAGTTGACTGAGGTGCAGCTGATGTAGGCAGGGCTTGCTGGGCTGAATTTCTGGGCTGTGGCCAGGCCCAGTTCTAAACCTCCCTCCAAGGCTGGTGCCTGCTCATGGAGGCAGTCAGGAGGGCCATGTGCGCCCACCAACGCGAGGTGGTTCAGGTCCTCCACTCTCCCAGCGCTCAGCAGGGGTCCTGCACAGCAGGTCTCAGCCGGATGGCCTCTCAGCAGCACCGGAAAGCACGCTGCTCCCCTGAGGACAAGGGAGGAGGGCAGGGAGTAAACATTCCTCAAACCCTGTAGTAATTCACTTTGGGATCTTAGCTTTTTTTTACCCTTATGATTTTTTCTTTGCTGCCATCCAAATGTTACTATTCAGAAACATGGAGCTGTGAGGGTCCTAGGTTGTGGCCCATCATCTTTAATCTTTTCTGAACCTGCAGGAGCCCCAGGTGGAACTGTTTCTAGTTAATGGTTAAATCCCTGGAACATTTTTGCACTTCATGCATTTGTTTCCTTTTAGGATGACTACTTTTTGATTCTAATCATTAAACTTCTGGCGATCACCTCCCAGACACTTTACATGTCAATGGACATTTTTTTACAATGAAATCCCTTAATCATAAATTGCTTAGCGTTATACACAGAGATTCAAGAAATGAATAATAATGTGCTTTCAAAGGCTTTGAAATAAGCAAGGACGGCAAGGGTTGATTAAAGAAATATTGTCCACTAGCTAGTTACCATCATAATGAAATAAAGATCCTGTTTCTTTGATGTTAGCTTGAATTTTATATAAAGTGTCTTTCAATAGGAAAGGCACTGGCGGAAGATACTAACCTATTAGCATTTCTTATATGATTAGGATACTAAATGCTGGATATCACAGTTAAGTCAGTCAAAGCATAGGTAATCCTCTCTAGATGAGGGATCAAAAATAAAGTGAGAAAACAAGGAAAATGGGGAGACAAAGTTTGCATGCCTGGAATGCAAGTATTCTCTAGTTTTTACAGTGAGATTTTCAGTTTAATTATGAAAGTAAAGGCATTCAAATCATTGGCATATTCAAATCACTGACAGTGGGTCAGAAAAACTTATTTGTGACTTTTATTGTGCTGATATTTTGTCAACTGTAAGTAGAAGGATTCCAAATTCAGTGACTTGCTTTGTTATCCATTTCTGGTCTCTATGATATCTTGGCTGGGCTGCAGTTTCCAGCCTGCATTATTGATTTATACCTCATTCCTATTTCTACTGACAGGTTTGTGTGAACAGAAAAACAAAAGGTAGGAGTAGGCTTTAAACTGGCTCTGTATTCGTATAATGCATCATAAGCATTTTCTGG